ATCTTTTATATGTGAAAAAATGTTTAATATTATCAATTGTTAAAAAAAAGGGTTCGTGGCCACAGAATTTAGGGATCTAAGTAATGTGAGTTTAACTTAACCTTGCTAATTTTTTTTAATCGGGATTCATATTAGTCATATTGTCCATCGCTTTTAGAAATGAGAATAAAGAAATTTGAAGTTAAAAAAATAGCCAAAATAATATTTAGTATCCCCTTTAGCAATTAATTAGTACATTACAATAAATACGTGATTAAATAAGATTATATTCAAAAATAATAATCAAGGGCATATTTATAAATGTTTTAGCTATTTATTATCCAATTTCGGATCACACTTAATAGGGGTTGTTTTAGGTGTAAACGAATTTATAACATGTTAAAGAGATCTACATTCTCTTCGCTTAGTTTAATAATATTTTGTGTCTATTTTAAAGATTTTTTATGGATTATAATTTTAAATTGTAATTAATATTGATTAAACTAATATCCTTTTTTTATAAATCCACAATTGAAAAAAAATGAGAAGAATGAAATCTTTTACTTACATAGTCATTGAAGTCACGAAGTAGAGCGAAATATAAAGGAATAAGACTAATATGTTTTGAATTAAAAAATAAACATATATGATGCAGTATATAGATATAAGTGGTCGGAATGGAAGCCTCAAAGTCTTTAAACGCGTTTAAATTATAAAGTAAAGCATAAAAAACCAAACACTTATAAATCATAGCTTGTCTAGCGGTCTATCTTAAATAAAAACTTATCAAATCAAGATAGGATCTGTTGAAACTCTAAAATAAAATATCTAGTCTTTAGTCTTTCTCTATTTTGATGTTCTTCATCTTCTTGCTCGACTCATCCCCACCTACATGATAATGTTCCACGTCTTTTATTCTTTTGTTGATAGTAGTCTCGGTGATAACATCCACATCTTGTTCCAAGCGATTATCTTTAAATTCTCCAAAAGCTTCAATCAAATTCTGCATGACAAAGTTTAAAAATGTTTATGAAGTTTAATCAAGAATACGTGTTGCAGTGAAACAATATGTTGATTCATTCTTGTCTGTTTTGTTCCAGGCTCATTTTGTTCATGTACAATTGTACCTGAAGTCTCCAANGATTCATTGACTTACATGTTCGTCCATGAACACCATCTCAATAGAATTTGTCATCTTCTCATCACTATATACAGTATATTGTCTTCTGAAGCGTGAGGAATAAACCCATAAGAACTCCTTTACATGCATGTGTTTTTTTTGGAATTGAAAAATAAAAAATATCGTATTATTTTAGACAAAAATCTAATTTGTTAAGTCACTGAATCTCTCCTTGTGATTTGAGTTTCCTTTTCCAAAGATGAAAAATTAAAATACTGTTTTGGAAAGAAACGTAATATCAATTCCGGATTTAGTTCGATTGTACATACATACAAAAAAGAATAAAAATTTGAAAACATAGCTAATTTCGAGTCTTTCCTTAGTGAGGATGAAGAAAGATACCTGTTTTGCACGCGATAGATCCGGGACAAAGAAGGAAGCTTCTGTTTTGGACGCAATAGATCCGCGATTTTCCTGGGTTCCTTCTTCACTGATTTGCGTGGAACGAAGAAAGGAAAGTTGCGCTAGATCCGGGACGAAGAAGTTTCTGTTTTGGACCCGATAGATCCGCGATTTTCATGGGGATCCTTCTTCGCCGATTTGCCTGGAACGAAGAACTTTCCTCAAATTTTTCTTCCATATGTTGAACGGCTCTCCAACAAATGACGCGTGGAAGAAGGCTGATGTGTAATTAAAATAAAATTCTGCAACTGACACGTGTCAAAATTCTAAGCTATCAACTCTCAAATATTATATTAAAGGATATGATATGATATGATGATTCTATATGTATATGTAAAAGAGAGTTCAAGAGTTTTAGGGGGTGTTTGTTTTTTCTGCAGGAAAAAGTCTGCAGTCTGCGGACCACTACTGTAGTAATCTGCAGGAGAAGTGGTGGACCGAAGGTCTGCGGTCTGCAACAAGAAGACTATTTGTTTTTAATGTCTGTAGACTGCTATATAAATTAATGGTGGTAGTGTACGGTGGTGGTGCATGGACGATTGTGGTGGTGGTGGAGGGTGGTGGTGAAGGGTGGTGATGGACAGTGGTGGTGGCGGCAGTGGATGGTGGCGGTGGTGGTGGACGACGATGATGATGTACGGTGACGGTGATGGTGGACGGTAGTTGACGGTGGCGGTGGTGGTGGACGACGGTGGTGATGGACGGTGACGGTGATGGTGGACGGTAGTTGACGGTGGTAGGGGTGGACGGTGGCGGTGATGGTGGACGGTGGTGATGGTGGTGGAAGGTGGTGGTGGTGAAGAGAAGTAGAAGAAAAAAATTAAGAAGATGTTAGAAGACATATGTTAATGTCTTCTCTAAGAAGATGCCAAGAAGACCTTTTTGAGTGAAATGTCTTCCAAAAAACAAACAATCTGCAGAGCTCAGCATTTGCGCGCGTCTGCGCGGCGCAGACAAAAGAGGCCAGAAGCTCTTCTCGCCAAAAAACAAACACCCCCTTAGTGTTGACACGCGTCCTGTGATGTGGCCAATATTAATTCACGTGGGAGCCACGCGTGCATACTACTAACATGTGTGCGCCAAATGTACCAATATTAATTCTATTATAAATCATTCACTTTCCAACAATAAATAACCATTCTTTTATAAATTTTTTGTAAAGTTTTCACTATCTAAATTAGATAGAATTAATTTAGATATGACTCGGGGCAAATACACACTAAAGAGTATGGTGAGGTTCAAGGGTGGCACTCTCAATTTTTTAAAGAGTTTGATAATGATAAAAAATAAATAAGTTCAATTTCAAACAAGTATCCAAATAAAAAAAATTATTTCTAAAGTATAAAAATAAAATATAAAATATATCAGAACATAATATAATTATGATATTTCAAATATTTTACATGTACATGTTTTTAAGCGATTATTTTTTTACTTTTAAACTAAGATTTTCTTTTGTCGGTGGGGGGTAAACTAATTTTTATCGGGGTTCTTTTTTCATTCCCTACAAAAACAATTATTTTAATACTATTTATTATGAAGTAAAAAAATTGACTGGGGGCGACTACCCCCGTATTCGTACATGTAGATCCTCCCCTGTATCTAATTATTTAAGAAATATTTTTCATTGGTTTAACATATTTTTTAAATATGCATGACTATTTTATATTTTTAAAAAATTTATATAAGATTTATATATTACAAAACAATGTTGCTTATAATTTTTAAATTATCCATCATCTAAAGAGAACTATTATATATAAAATTGTTCACACATGTATCTTGATTATATATTCATTCACCTAACTAAACAAAGTGAAAGTTTAATTAAAGAATTACATTTGGCACATGATAGATATACATTCTCTAATAATGTGTCAATACTTAATTGATGTATTTGAGATTTTTACTTTAATTTTTATAAACTCAAACAACTTTCAAAATAGTGATAATTTTTTTTATCACATATAAATATTTAATAAATGCAAGATTTATTTCAAAATTTTTATACTATTACATACTAAGAAGTATATTTTAGCACACAATGTATATTTTTTCAACAAACCAAACAAAGAATTTGGTAAATTGGAATGTTGGTGGTTGTTGTTTGTGTAAAGGAAAGAGAATTGATATGAGCCATAATTATATATTTTATTTCAAAATGTTTTATCTGTAACATTATTTAATTTTTAATATATTATTTCAACAAATTAAATTAAATAAATTTGTTTTTGTTGAAGGATAACACATGACATATAGGCCATATACCACTTATGCAATTTTCATTACTTGATTGATTTCTTTGGCATTTTTATTTTATTTTTCATTGATTAAATCAAATCTCATCATTGTTTCATCATTTGATAACCCTTTTGAAATTTAATACCTCTTCCTACCAAAAAAAGTTATCATAAGTTTGTATTTTTGGTCAAGTTGCTCTATACTTTGATCACAAAGTGTCACTACTACAAAAACGACCAAATAAATCACCTCATTTGCATCGGTCAGTAAAACAAACGATTTAAATTGTAAAATAAATTGTAAAGTATATTATATTTAGTTATAATATAAATTTACAAAAAAATGTGTCCATTTAAAATATTGTTTTCATATATCAAATTTTTATTGCATTTAGTTATTGAAAATTATATGCGTTACACCATTTAAAAATATATTTTGTACATAATTAGGTTTTATCCAAAAAATATATTTTATAAACTTTATTAATCCTTTAAAAAATAAAGAGTGATGTGATTTTTAATAAACTATTCATCATTTTCCTTTTTATTACATCTCAAAATAAATATTTATATAAAATTTAATACATGTACATCATTATTATATTAAAATTAATTTTTTTTTTCAAAAGAGATACGAAGTATTTTATAGTTAGATAATACTCCCTCTGTCCACTTAAGATCTTCCCATTATGCGTTACGAGGCTTGACCGACTTTATTTTCAATTCAATTTATTTGAATATATGGATAAAATTTTAATATAAAATCTATGTAGTAATAAACTACATGAAAAATTCTACAAAACTAAAGGTGACAACATTATATTATTTTATGAAATGAGTAGTGAAAATAAACAAACAAATTGAATTAAGTTTGACCCTGTGAATAATGTTGGGAAGATCTACGGTGGAGGGAGAGTATTAATCAAACATATTTTATACACACACATACACACAATTCACTGCCTTAGAAACCCTAAGTTCTGTGAGAAAACCCAAGTCTCACTTGAGTGAGCTGGACTCTGAAGAAACATAAGGACTGATCCGAGGAGAAGGTAACCTGAGACGGTCCGAGATTCTGCGGAATCCTCTTGTTCTCTGGGAACAATTTTCTCTCCAAGTCTCTTCTAACGGGGCAGGAGACAACACAAGGATTTGCTGATAATCTCCAGGAGGTCAAAGGGGTCGAGTTGTCATCTGAGGCTAATTTAATTCCAGTGAAGGAGACAGTGGAAGGACTTGATGAAACTCCCCATTTTTTGAGGGTGTTTCCGCAAGAAAAAAGACGCTCATTATTGACAACCTCGCTCCCCAAACCCAAATATCAGACATCATCAATTTCTTCAAAGGTGTTGGAAAAGTTGTCTGTGTTCGAAGATTTTTAAACCCCGAGGGTGGAAATCTCGGCTTTAGCTCTGTTGAGTTTGCTTCTGCCAGCGAAGCAGAGAAGGTGCAGGAAAAGAAGAATGGTGAATATTTGCGTGATGAGAGGATTACTCTTGGCTTGGCTAAGATAACTCCATACCCTCAAAGACCCAGGTTTTGCAGAGAACACAAGATTTGGTATGAAGACTGCATTCGAAAAGAATGTTTTCAGTTAGTAGAAGAGGAGATACCTCCCCATTTTTTTGAGGCAATTGCAGCAAGAAAAAAGACGATCTTTGTTGCCAATCTCTCTCCCCAAACTAAATTGTCACTTAGCATCAATTTCTTTAAAGATGTTGGAAGAGTTATTCGTGGTCGACTGATTGTAAACCATAAGGGTAGGCATGTGGGTTATGGCTTTGTTGACTTTGCTGATGCTAACATTGCAAAGAAGGTGCTGGAAGAGAAGAATGGTGAATATTTACACGACCATAAGATTTTTCTTGATGGGGCTAAGGCAGCTCCATACTCTCCACGTTCCAAGTACAACCTCGCAGAGAAGCTTTGGTACGAAGATTACCTTCAAAGCCTTCTTATAGAAGAAAATGAGACACTGGAAGGACATGAGTTTGTTGAGGCAGTTGCCTTAAGAAATAAGACGCTCGTTATTGGCAATCTGACTCCCCAAACTCAGATATCTGACATCATCAATTTCATCAAAGATGTTGCAGCAGTTGTTCATGTTCGACTTATTGTAAACAAAGGTGGTTATCATGTGGGCTATGGTTTTGTCGAGTTTGCTTCTGCTGACGAAGCCATGATGGCGCAGGAAAAGAAGAATGGTGAACTATTGTGCGGGCATCATGTTATTCTTGGCGTGGCTGAGATAGCTCCACTCACTCCACTACCGACCATGTTGTGCATAGATCACAAGGTTTGGTACGAAGACTACCTTCGGGGAGAAAACCTTTTGATAGAAGAAGATGAGGCAATAGAAGAAGCTGAGGCAGTGGAAGGACTTGATGATTATGTTGAGGAAGTTTCTGTGAGAAAAAAGACACTCTTTATTTCAAATCTTGCTGTCAAATGTAAAATACAACAAATCTTAACTTTCTTCCAAGATGTTGAACTTAGTGTTCGACTTATTGTAGATTACAAGAGTAAGCTTGTGGGCTGTGGCTTTGTTGAATTTGCTTCTGCTATCGAAGCAAAGAAGGTGCTGAAAATGAAGAATCGAGTGAGAGGAATGACGGGTCGTCTCATTATTCTTGGCGTGGCTAAGATGGCTCAGTACCCTGTCCGACCCAAGTACGACCTTGCAGAGAAGCTTTGGTGCGAATGCTACTTGCCACGAGAAAGCCTTTGGATAGAGGAAGAATACAAGGAGTTTTGTGGGAAGAAGATTACCTTCTCTTACGACGATGATTGATATAAGAAGAAGAATCTCTTTGGTGGTTTTAAGTTATGGTCTAGTTAATTGTACTTGAAAATAAGCTTAATTTTGAATGTTTTGGAGTCAAACCATTATCTTCCTTGTTTGACAAAACCACCTATCTGTTTTTTTTCCCCAAGTTTAGTGTCAACTTGATTGGATGGATAGATTCCCTATTTCATAGTATACCTTTCCCAAAAATTGTGGGTGCATTTTTCAGGGATGGATATATGTTTAGAAAGTATCTTGTCGTGCCGCAATAAGGAAATTTAATTTAGGCAGTTACTTTCCAAAACTTCATGGAAAGTAAGAAGCGAGGGAAGTATATTGTATCGATGTGCCATATTTATCTAGTCCATTATTTTCTTGGAGATAAAATGCCTTCATTCTTTTAACTCCATTGGCACTGGACTTAGAGTATCATTTCTTGTTTTTTCTGTGAAAGAGCTAACACGTCTTGATGCTGTACTGCATTCTTTTGCTTTGCAGTTTTTGCCTTTGTGGCTATAATGATATCACAGATGTCTTGAACTTTGAAGTACTATTACTCCCGTGTGCCTAATACCAGTTGTAAACTTAGCTTTTTTCCAGTTTGGCCCACCAGCTTCAATCAGCTGATATTCTAGCTACCCACAGAATTCTTTTCCGTACTCTGAAGGAGTTGTCCACAAAACCTCTTCTCTCAGACCAAAGAAACTTTGCTGTGAGGTACACATTCTGGTTGAGTTGTGCCATTTATTTTGCAATTTCATGCAAACTGTGAATTTATTATATTATCTCCCTTCACATAGTCATGTTACTAACCAAAATCAATCACTCCTTCCGTCCCTAAATAATGTTCCCATTTACTGTTTTTTGCTGATCAATCACTCCTTCCGTCTCTTTTCATTTTCATTTTCTGAGATAAATGATATCCAGAAGATGAAATGAAAATAAAATAATTTGTGCTTGAATTAGTACAATTGGAGAGAAATTGAAGAAAAAATGTGGGGAAAAAAAGGATGAAGCTCTATAATTGGTTCCTTCTTCTTCATCATCACGTTTTCTTCCCAATTGTGGAGAGAAAAATTTTGGTGTGAGCCCCTATCATTTTTTAAATTTCTCATCCCTTTTTCTTCCCTATGGTCAAAATCTTTGTACTCTCTGTCAAGGAATCAATTCAACCAAACGTTCAAGCTTATGATTGTGGCACCGGAAAAGTTATTTATATTCTAACATGCTCCCTCACGTGTAGGCGTAATCTTTTTATAGCATTGCACGTGAAACCTTAAATTTTTTAAAATTGGGTGGCGTTGAGTTTCGAACATGTGACCTATTAGTCAACAAGGCTCCAGTACCATGTTAAAGAACCAATTCAACTAAAAACTCAGGCTTGTGAGTGTGGCCCAGGAAATATTATTTATATTCTAACACTCTCTATTACTTTTCTTTCCTCTCTTTTTTCCTCACACTGAAACAAAAGTCATTCATTTATAAAAGTACTTAATGGTGACAAAAATTTTTAGCTTTAAAGAAAGGACTTAACGAGTTGAATATCCAATTGAGGAATACATCTCATTTTTTAGAAAATTCATTCACTTCCTTAATTTCTATTCAATATGTCTACTTTAAACATTAAGTTCTTATTCTGTTAACATTTTTTGATGTATAGTACGTTAAAACGCTTGTCTTATATGATACTCCCTCCGTTCCACAAAACTCTTCTTCTTTCGTTTTTTTTGCTTTCCACAAAACACTTCTACTTTTTATTAAAAAACCACTTTTACCCCTACTTTTTCATACCCTACCTATAACATCATACTTTTTCACTAATAATCAAACTATCACCTCTTACTTTTTCCCATCACATCAGAGGCAAAATTGGAAAATCAACCAAAATTACACCTTCCTTATTTCCCCCCGAAGTCAAAACCGGAAGGGTTTTGTGAAACGGAGTGAGTAAAATATATTTTCATTTCGCATTCTCCAAAACCGTTATTAGATCATATTTATATGGTCATCCATGAGCTTGTTCATAATTTTTTTCCCAACAAATAATATGGATCACATACACATAAAAAGTACGGAGTAATTTATATGCTTCTAGTTAAGTGTGGTGAATTTTCAACCTATAGTTTGTGAGCTTTCTAATTATATTCGGGGGGGGGGGGGGGGGGGGGG